AATTTTGCTTGTGGGTCTAAAATAGTTGCTATAATTGTTGATTTATCTATGAAAGAATAATTGTGTAAAAAAAAAAACTTAATTTTCAATTCTTAAATCTGATTGGCCGGACTTTTTAGGACCTGGACCGGACCGGACCTGCGGACTTTTCCATCCCTAATTTGGTCATAACATTCAAATTTGTTGTAGAATATGCATGGATAAATAGCATTAACCTGCTTGGCAAGTTATTTTCTTTTGTTAATAAATGGTATTCCAAATCAATTTTCAAGTATATTTGATCTGTCACGTGGTTTAGGTTTGATTTTAATTATTTTAATTGGTAGATTTTAATAGTCAATGATTGGATTTTTAACTACAGTAAACCCTCTATAAGTGCACCCCCCTCATGAACATAGTGCTATTTCTTGTGAGCGTGCATTTATGGAGGGTATACATAGTGCGTGCATTTAGGGAGGATTCACTGTATGCTCTAATTCATTAATAGCCATGATTATCGATGGTGATCCTTACTCTTAATAGTAAGAACATCAAATCTTCAGTTTTCACATATTGATTTACCTCAAAAAAAACGTAACTTATCCATGTAGATTCTGAGGTCCTATTATCACCTATTACTATTACTATATAAATATATAAGATATACCACGGAACCCAAGAATTCCAAAATCAAATTGAACCAGATTTCGTTCAATTCAATTCTTTTTATTAAAAAAAGTAAACATAATACAATTTACAGTGTACAATTCATATAAACTCGAGATAACAAGTTTTTAGATTAGAGGATATTTTATTTGTTATTATAAATTTTTATTTTTCCTATTACTATGATGACAATACTACTATTCTCTACTACTTCTACTATCTAAGGGTAGATTCTTGTATTAACTCGAAACTAAAATTTCTTCCGTCCAAAACCCTTCTTATTATATATTCCTTAATTTCCTATTTCTGCATGCAGTACAGTCTTTTTAGGCACCAGAAACAGCGTGTTGCCGTACTCCAGCAATACGTTGGTTACCATACAATACAATGTTATTATAATAACAGTAGCAATATATAATTACAGTCAACCCTCGTTTTCTGTGGGACACATAATTTTATATGCTAAAGTATTGGTTGATTTAATCACTATCACCATCATATTCTTTAACAATTTAAGATTACTAAATGTGTGCGGCCATTCTCTTTGTTCTCCCATGATTCCACGCTCTGTTGCAGGAACTATAATTAATTTTATAATGCCCTTCCAGGTTTCCCCTATTTTTCAAATTGCTTTACAAGAATTGATGGATGATGTTTATTTATTTAAAAAAGAAAGATATTACACATGAAATTTTTTTTAAATCAGCCGCCAAAATTCCAAATACAGGTATCCCTTATCATACTTTAATTTTTTCCAACAAAAACACATGCGTTGATTTTGTACGATATTATCATAACGTTATGAATACCTTCCATATACTAGTAAAAACCTATTGGTTTGATGGTTGTTGAATAGTAAAATAGTTTTTTTTAGAGAGCAAATAATTTTTTTGGGGTCAATTATCATTCTACACATCAAAAATATTTAACACAATAAGGTATAGAAAAAGGGTCCAAAAAACCAAATCGGCTATAATTGAATTAACAACGACGCGTCAACAGCAGCAACAACTATTGACACACTCCAAGGTAAATAATACCTGCTGCTTAAGTAGCATATTATCCGGATCTTCTTACTATAAGGAGTTTACGGGTAAAAAAAGTCCACTCATTTTTATTAGATTATTATTCGTTGGATTAGTTTTTATTAGAAATCTTTTTTACTCCATCGACTTTGGTTGGTTATTGTTTCGCGTTGAATTTTTTTTTTCCAGAAAAAATGAGCGAAGTTGGTATAATTAATTCGCCTTTTATATTATTAATTTATTAATCTTGAGAGATCAATAAATTATATTTCATACACGTTATCCATTTAAATAATATTGATTTACGACAAAGCCTTTCATTCTTTTCTTTGTTGGTTCATGTGCAACATTTGTTAGCTACAGACCCTCAAGGTGAAAGGACAAGATGCAAAACCATGTCTAACATACTACACCTGTTTACATCTACAACAACATATGCATTTATAATATACATTATTTTCCTATTTACTTTAAAATTCATAAGTTTTTTCTATTCAAACTTTTTATTAAAAAATTTGGAATTTCACGGAGCAAAAATATCATGACCAAATGGCAGATTTACTATTGGAATTTTTTAACCGAAATATTGAAATGCTATATTCTATATTTTTGTGTTCTTGCTAATATCAACAACTTTATGGAGAACAGTTGGAGGCACTGTTTAGACAACAACAAAGATTAAGTGAAGACTATCCAGAAAATTAAGTCCAATATATGGTGTAGCTACACGTTGGAACATTACTTATAATTCATGGATGAGATTGTTAGTTTTCAAAAAAGTCATCATTCTTTTACAAGCCAATATGATGCCGAATAATGACCTTGAAACTAACAAAAAAATTACATAAATTATTATTAGCTGATATTCAAAAAGGTTTTGTTCTGATGGAATACTAAGTATAAAATTAAATATAAGTTTTCCGCATGTTTGTGAAGTTTGTGAAAGAAAAAATCATGTAACTGTAATATTTAAATGAAATTAAATCACGTGAATTTATGATATGTGAATTCAAATTAGCCAATCAGAATTATAGATGTGCCTAATAGAAGCGACCGATTAAAGAAATTACTCAATTAATGATAGGATCTTTAAATTTTGGAATGTTGGTATTAAAGAATCCAAATTAGTTTCTCCAGTGTTTTTTACAATCAATAATGGCATTTTTGAAGATTATCTGATGCGGTTAGATTTCAGATTATAAATTGGTGAAACAATAATAGACTTAAATGATATTAATATTGGAAATAATGGAAGGCGAATTACGGAAATCCGATGAAGATTAAAAAATTTGACACTTCATTCTTTGGTATGAATAAATAATTATTCATTATTTACATAAATAAAATAAAAAATAATTACAATATATATAAGAGACAATAAATAACAATGGTATCGGAAAAAATATAAAAACTATAAAAGCTATATATAATAATTTAATGTTAATGTTATGTTAATTGATTAATTTGTTTATCTATAATGAGAACAATAGAAGAAAAGGAGGAGAAGCAGGCAAATACTTTATAATAAACTATTATTATTATTATTATTATTATTATTATTATCATCATCATCATCATCATCATTACTATGATTATTATTACTATTACTATTATCATTCATTATTATTAAAACTGTGATGCCACACCTTGATCACCAAAACAACCCCTTGAAATACTCTCAAATATAGTATGTGAGTAATAATATAGTAAAGGTATTAAAGGTATTACGAAATACCAAATTTGCAGTAATTCGAAAAATCCATTCATCAACCTCATTGGAACTATTCTAGGTGATTCATAAGACGAAAATCGTCCATTTTTATAAAATTCTTCCATCATCACGTCTTTCTCGGACCAACGATCTCTCAACCATATGGTAAATTTGTCTTCATCTTGTGGAATTTCTGAAATTTTGAATCGTCTCACGTGCACGTGCACATTACGAGGAAATTTACCTTCGAAATAAATGCTTCTTAGAGTGTAAATATCTTGGGGATATATCTCTCGTGACACACCTTCTAATCCAATGGTTAAATCATATAGATAATCTATTGATTTTCCCAATGCTGATTTACAAAAATGTAATCCGGTAGAACGAGGTAATAATACATATTTGTGATCAACCTTTCCATTTTTAAAAATAAAATTAAATAAATAAATATCTTAAATAATTTGAAATAAAGAGGAGAATCGGATAAACCCATACCAAACCAGTTTTATCCGCAAATTTTTTAGAAGTTACACGTGTCTCCTCTGATACTATAGTTCCTTCTGGAAAAATCAGCAACCATAAAGGATCATTAGATCTAGCAAAACGTGTCATTTGTTTTGTTAATGGCCCTTTATCAACTGCCCAATTACGTTTCAAAAATATAAATTGAAAAAATTGCATTCCCTAGATTATGAGTGAGAAAGAAAGAAGAATCGTGAATTAATTATTATTATTATTATTATTATTATTATTTTTTTTTTTTTTTTAAAAGAATAGATGAATATTTAAATCAATTGAATCTAATCCAATTATTCTAAAATTTTGTCGTTTTTCTTGAACTTTGAATTGGTAAATTAAATTAATCTTTTTTTCTTTTTTTTTTTTTGATTTATTAATTTCTGAATCCAATAATTAAATAATAATAATAATATCCTTACCCTAATCATAAAAGAAACAAATTATATAATAAAATATATTTAAGGTAAATCATTATATATATTTAAGCAAATCTCCATATATTATAACGAACCTACCATCCAAATATTGGCAGCCATTTCAACGAATCTTTTAATATAATTTTTACAGCACCATGAGCATTAGCTAAATATGCAAATGTCCTATAAACGAATAATGAATCATTTAATTATTAAATAAATATTTGTTTTTATTTTGGTAGAAGAACAAAGGGTACCATATATATATCCAATCAGCATATATCTAAATTGAAGAAAATGAAATTATAAAATATTATAATATTACAATAATTGATTATTTAAATTCAAATAAATTACTTGATGATTTGCTATCAATATAATTCTTTCTGGCAATTCTAGCTTTACTGAATTGTTTCTTGTAATTTTTATAACATCTTTCGCAGATTTATCTGTAGTGACTATGAAATTGCTTGGTGCGAAGAATTGATTAATTGAAACAAGTAAAATTCCAAAACATCTTTGTGTATGGATAATATAATTTTTGAAGAAGTCATTTGGAAGAGGCCATAATAAAAGTCCAAGGAATTGTGAAAAATTGAGTACGACAGATTGACCAGCTATATAATAAATAAGGTACTTAATATACTAATATAAATTCAGGAAGTGAAAAACTTTTTTTTAAAAAAAAACTACAGAGTTGTTATAATGTAATATTTTATTATCATAAAAAAAAATTTTATCAACTTCTTCATACCATAAAATACACAAAATACTGCAGTTCTGACTATCCACTGAACCAAACCAAGGGAATCTTCTTGTTTTCTAGGTCTTGGCATTTTTATTGATTTTGGTTTTAAAAATAATAAATGTATATATATTTACAAAACTTATATTAAGTTTATTACTATTATCACTTTATTATTATTATTATTATTATTATTATTATTATTATTATTATGCTAATTTAACGAAAAGAAAAAAAAATTTATTTAGAACAATAAACTAAAATTATTATTATAAAAGAAAATTTTTGTAACAATGTTGATAAATAATAATAATGATAACGATAACAAAAAAACTGCGTATAATAAAAAGGGTTTTTCAAGAGAAAAAAAAGAGGTTTCTTTAATCAAAACTACTCTGCTACAAAAAAAAAAAAAGAATAATAAACTTGGAGTTTTTTAAATGGAAAATCACAAATCCCAAATAAGGTCGAGGGCAACCACTGCACAGGGTCACCATTAAATGTGATGTCGTGATGTCTTACTACTACTATAAATATTACTGCAAATTTATTGGTCAGATGAATTGTAATTTAACGGTTTATAGTGTACATTAGTGCTAATCTATTTAGTACAATGCATAAAGACGATTAAGTTCACTACATAATTTTTAATAAAAAAACTTTATTTTGTTATATACTCTTTACGGTCGGGCAAAAATGCTATATTACTATTATGTATATACAATTACTATACAAATAGTCGAATTAACTGATCTTTATTGTTATTTAGAATAATAATAAGGGAAGAAAGCCGTGTTTAGAAATGGAGGGAGGGGTTCTCAACATTTGCACGTTACACTTAATCAATACATATATATATATAGTAAAAATTTTTAAAAAAATTTGTTACACGAATTAAGTCGCAACGGGAGAGGGCTAGCCCTTATATCAACTCTTAAAATCACGCCTTTCCTAATCCCTAATCCCTAGCCTAAATATATTATTAAGCAGAATTTTATAATACTGATAGCCGAATATTGTGTAAAACGATGTTGACGATCATAAACCGATTTCGCCTTATCCCATCCCAAATAGTCAAAATTAATTTTCCCATGAAAAAATTTTCCATATAAACTTTTCCAATTTGGTTCTGGAAATGAATCTTTTTTTTATGGTGTAGATCATCAAAAATAGAAAAAACTCTCTATTTTTTCAATTTATTAATAAAAAAGCCTTGGTATTAGGGTTTTAAAATTGCACAATTTTACTATATATCGAAAAGGTGATTTACCGGGATCATTCCTACTTAAGAAAGATTCGCTGTATATCACGCGACCTGAACAAATTAGAAGCGCTGTATTATGTAAACTTTGATTTAACTTTGGATTCTATCATTTAGTTGGTAAATTTATTAATTTATCTAATTTACTTATTGTAGTATTTACATCATAAGTTTGCTTTTGCCACACTGGCTTCCCGTTTATACATAACTTAATTCCTATATTGATTCAGATATGTATATGTGCCACCTTGACTTCCAAAAATATATTGCATTTTTTAGTATTGATTGGCTAATTTGCGCGCCGAGTGGTTAGTCATGTGGTTTTATAATATTGTGACATCAAGAATATCATTGCTATTTTGGGATTTGAGAATTTGGCCACGCAGCGCAGCATTGGATGTCTTTAGATGGTGTGCGCCATAAAAATTTAGTCATTGTCCTTGTGGTTTTGTAAAATCTTCTTTAAAAAGTTGGTTTTCACTTTACTGATCATCAAATTGATAAAGATCATCACCAAAATGAATACAAAAGTTCGGCTTATCGAGTTTTACACAATAACCAAACCCAGGCCCAATTATATTAAATGTACCTGACAACTGTTTAACATTTTCTAGTCTTGTGCTAACATTTTTTATTTTGTAAATTAAATTAATAATTGAATGTAACTTATGAAATTCAAGAGTGTGAAAATGTTAATTAATAGTTTACAAAGACATGAAACTTACAAACAAAGAATATGGGCAAAAGATTTATTGTATTGCTGAAGACCCGTCAAGGATTTAATTAATATTAATAATTGGACTAATCGTTGTTTGATTTTTCAAAAGTTATGTGTATACAGTCAAAGCTCGTTACAGTAAATCTTGTTACAGTGGAAATGGCTTACAGTGAACTTTTTTTCATGTCTCAGCTCACAATAAATAGATTATGCTCGTTATAGTGAACATCATAGTAAAATCCCTTTATTATTATTATTGTGTAGTGAACATTGAACACATAATAGAAATAATAGTGGAAATCGTGTGGCGTTGATCACAGGGTCTTCGTGTTTTTGTTATTTCTAACTAATTTTAGTTAGATCAATCATCATAGTGTTCGTAATGTCTTTAATATTAACAATAATTGTATGATTTAATAGTGATGTCATCTGGCTAAGAAATTTAATGGCTTGCTTAGCTGACTGGGGGGGGGGGGAGGAATTTTCATTAATCAAGAACTTAATACTAAACACTCTATATAAAATTATTAATTAAAAAAACTTTCGTTACAGTGAACTTTACATTAAATTATGTAATATGTTTATTATAAAGAGATTTTTCGGTAACAGTGAACAAAATTTTAGGAACAAAGGGTCCAGTGTAACGAACTTTGACTGTATGTGGTCACTATTAAATTTTTTTTGTATTCCTCACTACTATTAAAAAATAATGCTACAACTTCATTTTTTGTAGGATTCGAAATTTATAATGTAATATGTTAAGAAGAGCCTCGGGGTTGTTTTTTGGAAGAAAAACCTCGGATCAGTTGATATTCGGTTGTATCATTTAAGGAAGGAAATTTCAATTGTTAGTGACCTATATTTTAGCCATAAACTCGGGTAATATAATAGTGTCATTGCGAGATACCAAGAAGTTGGTAAATGCACCATATGCCTGTTTGACAATGCCATGCATGAATTTTGTTACAAGTTTTTATAACATTTTTTGTATCCAAGCTTTTTTTCCGATTATGCTTCTTTTTTCTTTATTTATTACTGGATTTTTTATTTACTTTTTTATTCTTCCTTCGTTGCCAACTTTTTGCTTGGCTTTTCACTGGAAAGTTTTCGTTGCTTGCTTTATAATTTTGAAGTATCGTTTTGTAATTCAGCAAGACTTGGAAAAGATCCCAAAAAATTGTTTGGACCTAATTTTACGGATTTTGGGTTTAATTCCAGAATGTTTTTGAACCATTGATTTTTGAAGCGAGAAATAAACATTATGTTGTTTTGAAATCTTTTGTAAGCAAAGCATAATTTTTAATACAAATCCTTCGAAAAGTTTTAAACTCAAATGTCAGGAAGATATGATTCAAAAAAAAATACACTGAAAATCTTTAATATTAATATTAATGGTTCGCTTGATTCGAATATTCGAATAATATTCGATGATTCGTATGGTTATAACCATAATTACTTGTTCGAGTTTAGTACGAACCCAAAGAAAGTATCCGAACCTCGTTTTTATTGATTGCGCAAAATTTTACATAAAATTTTTTCTAAAAAATATCATAATGTAGCTTAGATTCTAACAAATATGCGGATGTTTCTGCTAAATGTAAAAAAATTAAATAAATGAAAACTGAAAAATCAATATTCTGTTGGCCATCCATTATTTGATACGCATGCTTAAATTCTCTGGCATACTTTCGATTAATTTATCATAAAAACTCCTAAGTAATGTTAGACCATTCCTTTTGCAAAGCAATCTCTAATTCTCAGGCACTTTTGGGATGTTTTCATCTTTTCAACTCATCCAAAGGTGCATAATTGGATTAAGATCAGGTGATTGAGATGGCAAGTTTTATCTTTATCCAATTTTGTTCTTGATCAACTGACGAAATGTTACATGACGAAGTGTATTTTACCGCCAAATACAAAGGTGTATTGACGAAAAGGAAACAATGGAGAATATGACGAAAAGTGAAAAAGGTGGAGATACAATATTTTTGATGAAATGAATCACAGAAAAAATTTTGTAATAACCATAATAATAATAATTCTAAATTTAATCACCAGAAAATTTTATTTAAACTCATTACTACTATTATTATATATGCATTTAAAATATTCATTTATGATTGTAAGGCTGTTATTATTATTAATATTATAATATTCTTGTTCCAGTAATCATTTCTGATGGTAAATGATTGTCAGTTTCATTATAATCATAAAAGTAATCGCCTTCTGTTCTGAGGAAAGCGAAATGCGGGCTACATCCAATACAGTAATTTGCTAGAGCTGTAAGTCTTGACTTTTCTCCATATTGAAACTTTTTGAACAGTAAAATATTTTAGCCTTTAGAATTTCTAATAGGCTCTTTAATACTGAACCTCCTGGTCGAGAGGATAAATTATCTTCGACTCTCGAGTTAGCATTTACAAATCGAAGCTGATATTTAAATGGTGAGTCTTAAATGAACAAGTGAATATAAATTTAAGAGCACGCATATAAATTTATGATTTTTAATTATTATATTTTCTCCTCTTTGTCATATTTGCATCACCGATTTCGCCAAATATGACGAAATAACTTCTCACCCACAAAAAAACATTTTGTCAGGATCATTAATTGACGCCTAGCTTATTGATCAAGGAATAGTCCCCTCAAGCTGTAGTCGTCGTAGGATCAACAATGTCTATTGGTATAAGGAAGGATGGTTCTATTAAATCTAACACCTAAGTTCAATATATAGATTAATATTTTCAAGTAACTCTACAATCTTGCAATTGTGAAGGAAACCAATCCCAGAGGTCCAATTAGAGAGAGGTTCAGCAACTAAAACTTTTCCACTACCACTTGGATAACAAGGTGAGGAACTCTTGTCTTACAAGAAAAGGAGGATCAACCACTAAAACATCTTTACCACCACTACCACTTGAGGATCAGATTAAAATTCAAGCTTTTTTCAAAATTGGTTTCTCAAAGAATTTCATTTCTGCATTATCTTAGCATTATTACTTGGGTAATGCAATTTATTTTATTTATTAATGCTTTATAAATTAACAGCATCGGCTGTTTACATTGTTTCATTAAAAAGAAAGGTCGTAAATTGAAAGTTATTTGTGATGTGATAAATGTTTGCAATCTAGTGACGAATTTTTGTTTTGGGAAGTGGTATCCTTCCTTCCTTGATGGGAGGCAAAGAAAGATTGTCACTGTCGCCAATCATTATGTTTGGAGAACTTAGAGATCAGATAGGTGTTAATTCATTTCAATTGGTTAGATATATATACTGAGGTATAGAAAACAGACTGGATAATAATTTGTGATTTAAAATCAATATTGATTTTTGAATATTTAACAGAAATTTGAGCTTTCTTTTGAACCTAAAATTATCCAATTCAGACAAGTATTCAATGAGTTATAGATGAACACCTACCAACATTTTTGAAGCTACATATTTAGGAGACCCGCCCGATTGACCGACAGACATTATACCGACAGGACGTTCTACCGACAGGACATTATACCGACAAGTCATTTCATAGTACAATTAATAAATTTAATAAATGGCTTAACCACTTAAACAGCTTAGCCGGCTAATAAATGGTTTGACAGACTTAAACAGATTAATCGGCTAAATCATCAGATATATTAATATTATATATGTCATTTCTTAATATTAACGGATAATGATAATGAACTGATATGGTTATGGTAGGAAAACAAAGAAATACAGTTAACCCCTCTTCTAAGTGCACCCCTCCTTGGGAACATATCACTATTTCTCATGAACGTGCATTTAGAGAGGGTGTGCATTTAGAGGGGGTGATTTTATAAGCTCACTATAAGTTTGGAATGAGACATGGCGTGAGCTTAGAGGGGGTTGACTGTATTATGCTAAATTGACAAATATATTAGAAAATGACTTGTCGGTATAACGGCTGTCGGTCAATCGGGGTGAATCCCATATTTAATATCCAAATTTTAAAAAATTTATCAAAACGTTTACATGGTGTCTCTCACTTTTACATTATTCAGAGATCAAAGAGGTGTCAATCCAGGTTGTTTATCTCAATCTATTGGATATTTATTTAGTGAGGTGCAGAAATACATATATAGATAAGCATTTACCAACATTTTGCATGGCATTTTCACTTTACATGATCCAGAGATTAAATAAGTGTTAATTTGTTGTTTATATTGTCATCAATTATTATTAGGGAGAGCATATTAATTGATGATAACAATAAATTTATGATTATGCGGATCAGAATGAATTGGCTATTACTAATGAATTAGTTTTTATTATCAGGTAATTTGTTTGATGATTTATAAGAAAATGTTCATTTATTTTATTTAGTTGAAATTAATTTATTATTGACCTATTTCTAAAATAGTTATTAAACTTATCACAAAGTTATTTTACAAGTATGTCATTTCATTACAATCTAGCACTCTAGTTGCTATTCTACACTTTAATTATGATATTGCACTTTAATTAGTATTCAGAATTAAAATTACAATTCCACACAGCATGGTGGACATTCCCTTTATCATTTTTTAATTGTTTTAGAACAAACGATGGGTTACACTTATGAGGTGGGCGCAAGTACACTAAATAACAACCTTTCAAATTTTACAAGTATACTCTTTTCACTTCAATATTCCTGGATCCATTCGAAGTAACAATTTTTATTTCTTGATTTATATATACAAATACTGAGGACGAAGATACTCTTTTAAACAACTATCTTTCAAAGGATAATTATGTGATTGATGCCATTTCTTCACAATCTGATAATACTTTTTATCAATTGAATCAAGATACTTCTTATATAAGTTTATGTGTAAAAAACGATAGTGAAACAAAATTGAACAGTACTAACGAAAAGGAATTTAAAATTTTGAATGATAAAATGAATAATAATAATATTACTAATAGAAATAATAATAATAAACGTAAAAGATCGCAAGAAAAAAAAAATGATGAATATGAGAAATTTGCATTAGTGCAAATGTGTTTAACAGCGGTGCATGCAATAAATAGTATACATTCAACAACGATATATAACATCTGTTGTTTAGTTTTTGTTATTTTTATTCTTTTCCTTCAAAATTTGTTGTATTTTTATAATTTAATATCCCAATCCCAAGGTCAAACTTTTTATTAATATCTTTAATATTTTTTGATTCACAATATATATAATAAAATTAGCATTACATTAATATTAATAATAATACATAATAAAATTATATATACAGTACCTGGAAGAAAGTATCCGAACGCAGTTTTTCGAAAATTCCGCAAAATATTACATAATAAAAAAATAA